AGATGAATAAAATAATACTTTGATTATTCTTAAGCAATAATAAAAGTAGTAAACAAAAGAAAATAACGTTACGACTCGAAACGCTTTTCCTCCAAATTTGAAAATACGTCCTTGTCTATGAAAAAAAAAAAGCTGCGTTACTTTACATTACAACCAATAAATAAGAAAAGGATAAATAAATAAAATTATAGGCAAATGTTGTTAAAATGTTTGGATGATAAATGATAGAGAAAGAAATCAACTACATTAGACGAATAGTCAAAGATAAACTACTCGAAATGTTTTTTCTACAAAATCAAAATTTACGTCCTGTTTGATAAATCTTTCGCTTAAAGATTAGAATTATTCGTGTCCATGTATAAGCAATTTAACAATTACAATATTAAATGTTCTTAATATAATAATTCTTAGTGAAGCATTTTCTTAATAAATTAAATTTGTAAAAATAAAACTTATTTTAAAAATAAAACAATCCATGTACTGTCTGTCTATATTTCTGAGATGAGGTATATGTACACTATTTACCAACACCTTTATCCACTGTGCCATGTGTCCTTGGCACAGTGGATAAAGGCGTTAGTTAGATCCAATGACAGGACCCATGGAGTGTGATTTCAATACCCGGTTAAGGCAATGAAGAGCTTAGAGAGGGGAATTAACAGGAGATAACTGACATCCATTAAACATGGCACATGAAACTAGAACAGTCTATCCCAGTGAGCGAAATAAAGGTTTAAGTTCGACGTTCCAACCACCTGAACTTTAAAAAATAAACAAATATGCATTTTAAATTTTAATCATTAAAAATTATAAAAATGCATAATAATATAATAAAAATTATAATATAATAAACAAAAGAAAATGTTGATTCCAATCGTATAGTGATTTACCAAGCGTAGTTTAGATGTGGTACAAGGCCGGAAGTACAAGTACAAGTATGGAGCACCCAGTGAGGAACGAAATCACTACTCAGTCGTAATTGTTCTAGCGAGCCAAGCTTGCTAACCATTACACCGCCTCGAGGTGCCTTATTCCAATCGTATAGTGACTGCAAAACACTTGCTCCTCCCATTTTATAGGCAGAAGCGCACAAATGCATTGTGGGATTTTTTTCTTAACCAATAAAATAGGCTAGTTTTCAGTTTCAGATGAATCAGTCAACCCAGTACTTTCTGAGCGACAATAAATATAAATAAATAACCAACCTTGTGTCACATGTTGCCTCAGTGGGGGGGGGGACTGAATATTGTCAGTCGACCCAGTACTTTCTGAGCAACTGTTCGGTTAAACTCTCTGTCTCCGGACGGAGAGAAACCCGAAGGAGGCTACGCCGAAGAGCGGAGTCTCCTTCGGGGAGGTAAAACCAGCCCTGAACCTGTTTATATGGGTTCAAACGGGCATATTTTTGGGCCGAGCCCATGGGCTCGGGAATACCCACAATAAACAACCGACCTTGTGTCACATGTTGCCCCAGTGGAGGGGAGACTGAATATTGTCAGTCGACCCAGTACTTTCTGAGCGACTGTTCGGTTCAACTCTCTGTCTACGGACGGAGAGGAACCCGAAGGAGGTTACGCCGAAGGGCGGAGCCTCCTTCGGGAAGGCAAAACCGGCCCTGAACCCGTTTATACGGGTTCAACGGCCTATTTTTTGGCCGAACCTAATGGCTCGGAATGCCCACGTTAAAAAGGCCTTGTGCCACATGACACCCTCGTGGGGGGGGGGTGACTGAATATCGTCAGTCGACCCAGTACTTTCTGAGCGACTGTTTGGTTCAACTCTCTGTCTACGGACGGAGAGGAACCCGAAGGAGGCTACGCCGAAGGGCGGAGTCTCCTTCGAGGAGGCAAAACCGGCCCTGAACCCGTTTATACGGGTTCAATGGGCATATTTTTGGCCGATCGGGCTCGTAATGCCCACGTTAAAAACGCCTTGTGCCACATGACACCCTCGTGGGGGGGGGTGACTGAATATCGTCAGTCCCGATCAGTTATGTCTTGATGTCAGAACGCTACATTCGCTTGTCCGTACTTGCTTTTGTGTGTCGATGCCAGTTCTTAGTTGAACTTTTTGCCATATTACTGTTGATTTGTTTTGCATACATTGTTTGCTTGCTTTATATTTTTTGTCCTGTTTCTTTCTTTTCTTTCTTTTCTTTCTCTTTTTATTACAGACCTTGTCTATTCTGTTCGTTGGACAATTCTGTTATTTATTTTTCCATTTGTCCATGGCTACTTACTCAACAAAAATATAAGAATAAATGGATAATTAAAATAGTAAAGACTTCCCATTTAAAATACGACATAGCTTTCTTTGAGCAATGAACAAATATGTCCGTTTACTCCAACATTATTATTATTATTATAATAATCAGAAGAAGTGATATTTATTAATAAAATTGTATGAATATGTAACATAAAGAATGTAAAACTTGCTAATGAAACAGATAGACAACAAAACCTATTATGACATGATGTTATAACATTGTGCAAATTAATGTAAACTGCAGAGTATTGTTCAGATTTATCGCTAATACAAGGAAGAACATTTGATAGCCAATACAATGAAGATTATATGGAGATTAGATCTAATATCCTGCCAACAAATCCCTAATCGACGGCAACATAGGTAAATGCTTTTCTTCAGATATTCCCTACGCCATAACAATTTGTAACGGCAATGGTATCTTATCGAATTGTAAAAGTGGATATAAATTGAGGAATCCATCAGAAAGATTCAGACAGTTGCTTATTATGCCGAAAGTGCTTGCCAAAAATAAACTGGAATTAGGTACGGTGACCCACGCAGTGAAAATCTTCATCCAAGACATTGGAATGCAATTTGACTCAGTTACCAAATGGCTTAAGGACAGCACAAAGAACAGTAATGGAAAATTGATCGTGGCAGCGAAAAGTTTGTTTCCATGGACCTGATATAAGAACACTCTTTCCAAATATCATAAAAGAAGCCAAAAAATAATGAGAACGGAAGCAATTTGAAGGAGAATATTCTGGAGACAAGCAAAAGGAACTGCACAAAAAATATCGTACTGATAGCCGGGTGGAAAACACTTGAAATTGGAAGGAAGATCCTATTAATAACAATCCCGAACAACTATACGAGAACAAAGTATATTCCAGCCAATATGGACAGGACACAGCAGAATAACGAACACTACAGTTGCAGAAACGGGGAAAAGCATTTGATCGTAAGAAGAACCTCCCAGATTAAAGTACATATACAGGTAATAACAAAATTATTAGCATTTTAATGAAAATCGAAATCTATTTAAAAAAAAATCCCAAGTGCTTTGAACAGAGAAATAGCAAGCTACATACTTCTATGTCAACGGAAAGTGGTTCATCAATTCAAACTAGCACAAATCCACAAATAGAAGCAATCATGAACCATAGTTGAGTCTGGGCCAAACAAGCTGAAATTTACAAAACAGGTAGATATAAGACTGGCTTAATTTAACACAGATATAAATCAATTCTAGCCGAGTCAGTCACAAGTCAACAAGATTACGAATATTCTCTAGTCTACGCTGACCCGAGCTTTTAGCACCTGTTAGGATCCCAGCTATAGGCAAATAGATAACTCCCAAAACTGGGCTCAAAACACTATGAAAGAATAAAAATAGATTTTTGTACTAAAAATTCAAGCAATATATATTTTTTTTAAATATATTACAATTAATACATTTTTGAAGAAAAAATACCAGCAATTCATTCTATAAACTGTTTTCTTACAAAGAATACATATTATATTCATACCTGAAAAAATATATTACAATTAATACATTTTTGAAGAAAAAAATACCAGCAATTCATTCTATAAACTGTTTTCTTACAAAGAATACATATTATATTCATACCTGAAAAAATATATTACAATTAATACATTTTTGAAGAAAAAATACCAGCAATTCATTCTATAAACTGTTTTCTTACAAAGAATACATATTATATTCATACCTATCCTAAAATCTGGTCCACGTTAAATAACCCATTGAGATTGATATGCCATAAAACAAAATAAACCAACCCAAACCAAAAGCCAATTTAAGCTTTGTAAATTTCTTATAATTGGCATTTTTATAAGTGGATTGTTTTTATTGTGCTATCTACAGATGAAACATTGACCACCTTGAAGTTGTCTAATTAGTATATTTCAGCAAGCCTTCTGAAACAGCGTGTGAAATACAAGACGACACCCAAAAATGGCCAAGCAAAAGATTTGGGTTACCTCACATAAACCAAGTTAGTTACAGTGTTTCAAAACAATAAATATCTGAAACTAAATTTATTAAATAATTGTTAATTTCAGTGTTAATGCACATTGATAATATTTGTTGAGACATCCTGTAGCTTGAATGATTGCTTCAATGCACCTGGGATGGGATGAATACAACTCGTTCACCATTTTCATATGGGCCAGATAGCATTCGCTGTAGTTGGGTTGCAACAACTCAAGATCGCGTGTATTCTTCTGATTAATTCTACTCATTAGTTCTGTCAACATTTGATCCATGATTTAAGTCGGGGCTCTAATCTGGCCAATCTTTCAATGAAGTGACACATTCATCAATCATTTTCTGTTGTGTTGCATGCAATCTGTAATATGAGGGTCGGTAATGCTAAGAATCTCGCCTTTCTCCAAGTTTGGTGTCAATTTTAAACTGCTTAGACAACAAAATTACAAAAATTGACTATAATACTGTTTCCCAGTATTTAAGAGATTTATAGTCACATCATTTTAAGTTAGAATCGCCAGATAAGATTAGTGTTAGAATTTATTGGTGGATTCATTTGTGTTTTACGGATTTTCAACCTTTTGCAGACTATTTAAAGCTAGAAAATATTTTTAAAATTGTCCTAACAATTAATCCATATCTAGATGGAGAAAAGGTGAGTTCATATCTTTCCCAAGCCTATTTGCTCGTAAATTAATATAGCGAGATCTAATTCTAAGGCATTATGTCACCCATACATCCAAACTTACAGCGCTTGGCATTCCCAAGCAGTCACCCATCTAAGTACTGACCAGGCTCGACATTGCTTAACTTCGATGATCGTACAAAAACCGGTGTTTCAACGTGATACGGAAGTAAGCTTCGTGCAACTATTTATTCATAAGTAATAATTAGAAAAAATAAATTTGAATATCATACGGAAATAAGAAGAGAAAGAAAGATGCAAAAAGAGAAAGCGAAAGAGATGATGAATTATGAAAAGTAAACGAAAAGGATTAAAAAAAACTTTCGAAATTTAAGAAAAAAGATAATGGAATTTAAGAAACATTGAGACAGTTGAATCATTACATCATCCATAAACATTTTCTTCTGCTTCTCCTTCTTCTTCTACTTCTTCCACTTCTTCTTCTTTGTCTTCTTCTTCTCTTTTTCTTTTCTTCTTCTTTCTCTTCTTCTTCTTTCTCTTCTTCTTTTCTTCTTCGTCTTCTCCTCCTATTTCTTTTCTTCCTTTTCTTCTTTCTCTTATTCTTCTTCGTCTTCTCCTCCTTTTTCTTATCTTCTTCTTCTTTCTCTTCTTCTTCTTCGTCTTCTCCTCCTCCTTTTTTCTTATCTTCTTCTTCTTCTTTTTCATTTTATTCTTCTTCCTCCTCCTTCTTTTTCCTCCTCCTCCTTTTCTTTTTCATCCTCCTCCTCTTCCTTCTTCTTCTTCTTCTTCTTCTTCTTTGCACCGTGTCCCTAGGATATTCCAAAATTTCTTATCCTTTGTTGCTCTCTGTTTAGTTTTTCTCACTCTCTGTCCACCTTATGCCATCTATTTACGCAATCTCGATATGTACGTGACATTTTATGTGCTGTGTCTCTTCAGGGCTTGGACAATTGTGCCTCTACACAACTTACACAACTTGTTAATTATGTTTCTCGACGTTTTCACCTAATCCACGTGTCTTCCCTATAACCTGTGAGTGTTGAATTCTCCAAGCCCTGTTTTATCATTATCAAATGATTTCTGTTTGTAACTATAATTGTCCTTTTTAGACCCTTACTTCCATTAGATATACGTTTTTACTCCATGCCGCTTGAAGTCTCTTCTTCATCTGTGAAGATGTATACTAAACTTATATTCAGGATGATTCTTATCGAAATCCATCCAGAACTATTTTCTTTTTAGTTTCTTACATAAATGATAATTTAGTGCATATTTTCAAGTATTTTCAAGTATGACTGTTTACGTTTTAAAAATTACCAAACCTTATTAAGCATATCTAATACCATTTCAAAAGAATTAGAGCATTTAATACAATAAATGAAACAAATAAATAATTACCTACGATTACTTTCTTAAACGAGTCTCCCTCGATGACAGTGATAGAGAACATTGAAATAATCTGTCTGTTTTTTTATTGTAATATACTGAATGGAAAAGTTGTATTCTACAATGATTTACGGTAGCCTACGTTTCGAAAATCTTTAAATAAAACCAATATTTTTATAAGACATTGAATGAAAAATAGCTGTAGGCATTTTTTGCACTTATCATTAGAGAGAAGGCTTTATGATTCTTTCTGCTTTTATTTATTTTCATTTCTTTTGTTCTTGTCATTTAAAGATAGATTTGGATTTTTAAACAGTATAGAGCAATATTTAACTTCGGGGCATAATTAAAATCAATTGATTTTTTTTTATTGAAAGTTGAAGCAATAAAAAGCTTTACAAAATAACACACACATATACAAAAACACATGCACACAAATACAAACACTCACAAACATACAAACACACACACACAAGTCTCCGATAATATATATGTATATCTGTTCACTTTTTAACAACGAGTCTCGGTTTCGAATCTCCCTATTTTGGATTTCTTAGAAAGGTGACCTTGATGCTATCAGTTTGAAGAGGTAGTTCAACGTACGGTACTTTTGCAAAGTACCTGAAAACCATACCATGATTTTACCCAAGAGTTGTGAGTGATGAATGTTCGGAAGCGGTCACTGATGGTCTTATCACCAAGTCACAAGACATCGTGATCAAGGGTTTTGTCGTATTGATGTTGTTCAAACTGCCACTCCATTCCACCTGAACTCTAAGGCCCACACGGAATAGTTGAAGTATGAACCACAGGTGGGCTCTGTTGAACAAACACAAATGTACCTCAGTAGGCGGCCGCAAATGTGATTCGTTAGCCGCATTGGTGTATATATGTATGTAATCTTAAATATAGATATATTTTCTGAAGAATTAATAGATTAATTCTACCTCTCCATGACCTCAAACATTATTTACCTTTCATGCTTAAATGCAATCTATGGCCTGAAAATTGCGTTTAAGCATGAAACAGACTGTCACCGATATGTGTGGACCTCAGTGTCTAATCATATACTTATATTGATATATGCTCTATCCAAAATGTTGAACACTTTAATCCATAAATATAACATACCTTAAAATTATATATATATATATATATATATATATATATATATATATATATATATAGATAGATAGATAGATAGATAGATAGATAGATAGATAATATTAGTGGTAAATATACACATACGATTCCAATGGAATAATATACGCATACGATTCCAATGGAATAAATTATGACCATGGAATATTAGTGTTTAAGCCTTTTTATTAGATTTTCATTATATATATATATATATATATATATATATATATATATATATATATATATATATATATATATATATATATATATATATATATATATATATATATATATATATATATATATAGCTGACAATAGCCTAGAGTTAAGATATCTGTCAAAACCAACGGGTTTCGATCCTGGCTTGAAGCAATCGGACGTCTATCCACACTGAGGCGCTGTGATACAACGAAACACTCTGTCTGTTGATGACTATATATATATATATATATATATTATAAAGCAAAAAATAAAAAATTATCTCATGTGGGTATAGTCTATTTCAGACCAGCACAACCATATTCCAGTCCTCCTCAGCCCGAGACTGACTGTCTCGGAATAGGGTTTTTTTATTTAGTGGCTTATATTATTAAGTGATAAGGGAATTAAAGACAAGACAATTTAATGTTAGAAGAAATTATCTAAATGATAGATTCCTTAAATCTGTAATTAATACCGTAACACCCAGTGGAATAAATCATGTACAACACAAATACATACTGACATACCCACTTACACACATATCTTATCTCCCCTTCCTTCTTATTACATATTTCCACTTCTCGCTTACTGATGGAATTACATTTTATATTTACTCTCTTTGGAGGGAATGGTAAATATAAATCTAATCGTCGATTATAATTATGCAGCAAAATGAAACGCTGAAGTTGTAGAGACTCTAAATTTTAAATTTTAAAATTTCTGGCGTCCGTTGCGTCTAGACAAACAATTCAGTACTTTCTCTCTACATATGGAGACAGATAAATATAGTTCTACATTGTCCTCTATTTATTTATCTAACACACGCATTTTCCATATATGTGTGTGTGTGTGTTTGTACGTGTGTGTTTGTGTGTGTGTGTTGTTTCGAATTCGCTATATTTAACAGTGCTAATATCGCTAACCATTTATACACACACACAAAAACACACACACACGCATATATATATATATATATATATATATAGATAGATAGATAGATAGATACCTGTCTCACGCATACTTCCTATCTATAAATCTATCTATATTTAGCTCTATATATCTATAATCTATCTCTATTTTATATTGTTTTAAAATATACATTATAGTAGATGTAGTCAATCTCTCTCTCTCTCTCTCTCTCTTACTATATGTATGCGTGTGTATATATATATATATATATATATATATATTGCATAACATGTTCTGTACCAATCTATTTATCTGCATTTACCTATATATAGATCTATGTGAATATATATATATATATATATATATATATATATATATATATATATATATATATATATATATTTTTAAAATATACTATATTAATAGTGAAAGTTCCCAATATCTCTCACTTTTTCACTCTCTCTCACACTGTATATAAGCAACATATATTTATATATATATTGCTTAAGCTATGTTATAAATTTAGAAGTAGAGTGCTCAATATCTGTCTCTCTCTCTCTCTCTCATTCTCTCTCTCTCTACATATATATATATATATATATATATATATATATATATATATATATATAGTATATGTATATATAATTGCGTGCGTGTGTTTTATGCATGTATGTGTATTTCTCTCAGCCTTACTGACACACACATTTTCGTTTTGACACATCAGAATAGGGAAAATCTATTCGTTGTTGTAATGTAGAAAAAAAGTATCATTTGGGAGAGTTCAGTGAACGTCCCAAAAGAAAATGATAATGTCAGCAGATGCAAGAGAATCAATAGGATTGATTGCAAAATGGAGCTTTGGCCAAAGGCCAGATGGACAAGTGAGAGGAAAAGAAAGAGATTTTTTCCTCCTTTGCAATGAGATGAGAGCCGTCGACATTATCAATTGTACCATCATTTGTGTGACAGTTTGCCGTTCGCAGTGTCTGATGAATATTTATGGCTATGGAGAGAATCCTACTGCAAAGTCCTGTTACATCTCGGGATAACTGCTTCGGAGATTTGTACGTAAAACAAATAAAAAAAAAACCCTGTCAAACCCTGATTCATATGCTGGAAGGTCCCAAGAGTTTTCTTCGTTCAATGACTTGGTATCCTTTTTTATTCAAATACTTATACAGTCATAAACAATAAATGAAGTCGCACTATTTTAAAGATAGTAAGAGAAAAGTTATACGAAAAGCTTCTTCTAAGATAATCACGATATAATTGCTTAACAAGCAATGACTTTTAATATCTTAAATGTCTGGACAGTTTTCACTATAATATTCATTACATAGACACATTCATAGAGGAGATGGGCGCCTCGGTTTGAGAAATGTTTTCTATGTTTAGTCTAGATGATCATTACTATTGATTAATGAGTTCGATTCTCTCCGGGTGCCATATTCAAAATATGACATTAAATAACCCAAGTGTCGACATATAGTAAAATCAAACAACTTAACAAACAGGCGATATAATGACGGGTTTAATTTGGCGAATCAACGCTAGCACAGATCAACAGAAAAACGACTTGTTTCGACTACATGTCAACAGGAAATGGTTCATGAAATGAGGCTTAATCTACCACAGTTCAATAAGATGTTTGTGAAGTACTAGTAAATATCCACAAATATAGGCCCTATCCGAGTCTACACCAGGTCAACATACTGAATATACTGTACAAAGCCAGGCTTAATCCAACATACATTAACATGTATCTGGCACAGATCAATATCAATTTTTGTAAAGACTAACTCAAGCTAGAACAGATCCACAAAGAGAAGCCAAGTGAAGCATGCTGAAATTCTCAAAACCGTGCTTAAACTAATTGTGTATTAGCTGGTATATTAAGAGGCTTAATTTAGCACACATCACGATGAACGTATGTCAAAACCCCACCCACCCCAAAGGGGCACGGTGACTCGAGAGACTACTGGACCATAAACTGACACCTAACTTCAAGCGGAACTTGTACATATAAGACATCGCTGAAGATGCTAGTAAAATGGTCGACTCCCAGTACCGCTCCGACCAGGCCTAAAATGGAGTAATTTTGTCATATTTGGGCGGGAGCGACAGAGACAGTCAAAAAGCGTCTCAGAGTCGTTGTGGGTAACGAATTATTTCCCACCCTCCACACCTCTCTCTTTCACTCACAGGCGGGATGTGGTAAGTCTCTTGCTGCTTTGTCGCTATGTTCACGGAAAGTGCTCGGACCAACTACATTCTTTGGTTTACGAAGATTCGACTCACCTGTCAGAGGTCTTCTGGCAGGTGTTATCCTGTGAGTTATAAATACACGGAAATAGACCCTTTTAAAAATCAAATATATATATATAAACATTATTTATATATATGTATATATATATATAAACATAATATATATATATATAAAAAACATGATATATATATATATATATATATATATATATATATATATATATATATATATGTGTGTGTGTGTGTGTGTGTGTGTGTGTGTGTGTGTGTGTGTGTGTGTGTGTGTGTGTGTGTGTATAGGCAGCAATCCTTCTTTCATGCACATTTCAGAGAAGGTACTTTTATTTAGTTTTTTTATACAATTTTTCATGCGATCTAATAAGTTTTTTTTTTCATTTCAGATGATAAATTATATAAAAACTGTCCAAATGTTCTTTTTATCCGAGCGCTTTCGGCTGTACATTTAGCCATATTTTATCTGTTAAATAAGAAATACTTTGGTGTATGTATGTTTTATAAAATGTTTTCATTTTTCAAAACACAGTCAAGACATTGCGTCCATGATCAATGTTAATATTATTAAGTGTTGTTTTTTTTTGTTTTTATTAATTTATGTATGTATGTATATTTGTTTAATCATTTCCAGGTAAGACAATAAAGCCACTAAGACAAAGAGGACACTGAGTTTATGAGAAAAATATATTATTGAGAAGGAAGAACAAGAATTAAGAAGATAGAAGATAACGATTGGCATCGCATTTAAATTTTTGAAGATCGAAATTGAATGTGGAAGCAAGTAGAAAGAAGAAAATTCCACAAGTGTAGCGTGCAATAGAAGAAACTATTAGCGTAGAACTTACGGTTACATGTAGCCACTTCAATTGTAAAATGAATATTAATAATATATTAATAATGCTTTAAATGATACCAATGAAAGCATCTTAATACTATTAAAAAGCATCTAAAGAACCTCTCTTCAGAGATATATTGTTGGCGAATTTTTGTTTTTATTAATACTGACAAAAACATTTAAGAGACTAATAGGGTAGTAAAACACATCAGTGAATGATTAAAAGATAAAAATAGACTTCTTACAAATCAGAAACCAATTCCTCCAAACTGAACACTAATCCCTTTTCATAATTATGTATTTTATCTCTGTTTTCCAATTCTGGTGAATCTTTAGTTGGCAATCAATTTCATTTTTATCCAAATGAAATTGGCTTCGTAATTGTTAGAAGGAAACAACTTTTATCTGTAATTGCCACTATGTTCGTGTTATAAGGATTATTTACACCGACACTTATGGATCTATGGCCCAGCATTCCGGGTATGATACCCAGGTTCGATCTCACCATGGTCAGTTTTTCATAGAGTTGTTTTCTTGATAATTTTCGTGTAGGGAGATTATGTGGCGTCTCTGGGAAGTGCCATGAATCGACCGAAGCCTTGCGGTTGGAACTGGCTAGTTTGCAAGAAGTCATGTCATCGTGTCCAATACTTTGAGTGTACTTCTCTTGTACTGATCACCCTAGATTCTGCACTCTCTCTCTCTCTCTCACACACACACACACACAGAAACGTGAGTCTGCTCAGTATAGTTTCAGTATAAGCTACATTGATTCGTTTTCTACGGATTATCAACCCATTACAGGTTATTTAAAGCCAGAAAATAACGTTAGGCTGTAACAGTTTTGTTGAGTGATAGTAATGATTTGGTGATAGAAGTCGTACTTATTAACCTATAGCTATCAGGCGAAGGGATAGATTCACAGCTTCCCCGTAAGTAAATAAAACGAACCCAACTGGAATTTGAACTCGGCTCTCCGAATAACAATTCCGAGCTATTACACCGCCCGCAGATCTACGTTTACAACACTTGATATTCCCAAGATGTCACCCATCTAGGTATTGACCAGGCTCGACGTTTCTTAACTTCTGTGATTGTACGGGAACCGATGTTTCCTCTTGTGGCTGTAAGCCTAGTGTAAGCTACAGGTAAGCTCTGTGTCTGTCGAACAAAAACAAAATGTGTTTCTGCAGGCGTCTACACAAGGATTGGCTTGTTATCATAGCAATCGGATAAATGCAACCATTTTTTTTTTCTTACAGTAAAGACATATACAGCTATTAGTAGCTTAAAAGAAAAAGAAAGTTGATTTCATTTGTTCCTGAAATCTTCTAATGGAAAAAGATTCTATGAAAAGTAAGAAAATTAAGGCTTGAGACGGGAAAAAGTTCTTTGAAACTGTTTCTTGTAGGTAAACAATCATTATTTTATTGTCTAGTCATTAATAATAAAACATACATTATTGGCTTACTCCGAACGGTTACAAACAGTAATTGTTAAAAATGAAAGATATATTCACATAAAAGAATATTACTTGTGTTTTCCATTACGCATGAGGAAAATACTTTTTGTTAAAATTACCGCCTGGAACCAATGGATGTGCATGCCAAATTTGCGCGTTCTACACGAAATGGTTTGGCCGTGTCTAATTGCCATAGAAAAAAAATCTTCCTATGATAGATAGATAGATAGATAGATAGATAGATTTATTTATTTATTTTTCTCAGTTAAAATTTCAGGCTGTTAATTTGGTTAATTTTGTTTAGTGGCTTATCAATACCTCTATGGGTTATTTTTTGCCGAAGTCTAAATATAGTGTACCTAATTTAATGCCTTCAAGTACAGATGTTTTGTACAAATTTTATACTTTCAGCGTAAAAGTAAGATTTTTTTAGATATATAGTTTGTAGATCGTAAAATGTATTGTTGATAATTTTAAAAAAAAGTATTATTTATTTATTTTTTTTTGTGTTGCATTGATTGTCACTTCGCTATAAAAATGTCTAGTGCTGTTCATTTTATTACACAGTTTATTGCAAAAGTGTACATGTGATTTTTGTTTGGAGGTTCAGAATTTTCCCATAACTGGGACCTTTACAAGTGCCACCATCCTGGGTCAGGGTGGACCTGGGTAAAACAGCAGTTAAGCGTTGGTTCCTTACTCCTCAAAACCGCCAATGTCCCGATCAGAGGTTTTGCTGTCTGATGTAGTTTATCGTCATATCCAGGACTTCCAAGCTTTTGAAATATAAACCATTCAATAAGCATTTTCGCGTCTGACTATCTATACTATACAGTGTCTCCTCTGTTCTATCATTAAATTAATGTCAGAGTTCACTTTATTTTTACTGTTTTGGCGTCGAAAATACGCCGACTCAATTCCATTCAGAGATGTACTAGCAGCATGGCCCAGCGTTGCCCGTGCTGGATTAAAAAATCGTACGACTCATACAGCAATCGCTATCATTTGACTTAAAATATTTTGCACTTCCTTGCCGTTAAAGGAGTGCCCTTTGCCGTGCTGATGTTGCTACATGCCTTACTTCTTGCCTATCTCACACTGCGAATTTTTTCTCAGCTCTGTAATAAACATTAAATCTGTTACGAAAAAAGAACTAAACAAAATGAACACGAAACGATCAGCTTTAAGAAAGGATTCGTAACTGAATAAAACCGAATGAAAAAAGAATGTTAACAACAAATACTTTTTCACACCCAACCCAGTTCTGCGGAATCAGAATCAACGTTGAGTTTAAAGAAAGCGAATGAGCCAATTGGAATAATGTGCGATGCAGATTTAAATTTTTCCTACTTGTGACGAAATGCAGCTATCGATTATTTTGCATGCTAGTTAACATTCGTGTCAGTCAGCTGTTGGCTCTCACGCTGGCCAATAGAATCTTCCTGCCTATTAGTGGCAGCCAGTTATAGGCTCTCACTCTGGCCAGTAAAAAATGGCCGCAAACTACATGAAAACTGCCGTGGGAGTTGGGAAATGCAAAGTCGGTTTTGGCCTTCCCGCTAACTTGGAACATGTGCATGTAAATTTTGGTGCAAATCCGTCGAAAATTGCGACCGTGCATTCGTTACGCACACACACCCTGCCTTTTATAAATAGAGATAACCTAACCCCCGAAAGTTATTATTTTCATGCCTAAAGTTTTATGTCTTTTGGATGATAATTCTTTGGTATCCTTCGACCTTGCCCGCTAAATGGTTGTCCTGCAAGGAGTTTAGAACTCCCGATAGTATCGATCTCAGAATCAATGAAACCCACAAGCCGCTCTACTACGACAAGGACTGACCATGAGAAGTATGCACATAGAAATATACACGCACGGACACACATATATTTTACACAGGATGCAAGAGTAAACAGTTCATCAACTATTACTTTAATATAATGAGAATAATAGGAACAAAACAGTAAATAAGAAAAGAATTAAAAGTATAAAATCATCATGAAATATGAAAACATTTTTTATTAGTCTTGTTTTTAAAAATATTTAAAGATAAAGAATAGAACATTAAACTGACAATTAGAAGAATAAAGGGAAATAAACAAAAAGGAATAAGGTTAAGACTCGAAACTCTTTTCTTTCAAATACGAAAACCCAGACTAACCCCAAAGACCTCAACGGTGGAACAAGTGGATGATAATTACAACAGATATCATCGGATGAAGAGGGAAACGAATGACGAACATGCTACAGAAGGCGGCAGTAGAAATTATAACAGAGACACCGCCAATCCGTTGCAGTTTCAAAACCGTATTCTACATGCCTCATTCCATATTTGCCGTAGTGCAAGCTCATGCAGTCAAGTGTGTGGGTCACATCCTCACGAGTAGAGGTCCACCTTTAACAAAATTACGCCACCGGCACATTCATCTATTTTGATTATCTTTCATCTTCAGGCAACACTTGCAAAGCCAAACAGCGACCGGGAATGGATGACAGGAGCAGGTTTTGGGGAAACTGGAAGCTTCCAGTCCTGAACCTGCCCGTTGGCGGTGAATGTAGTCATCAGCACCATCATCAGAAAGGGATCTATCGGCAAATAAAAATAAATTATTGGATGCAAGATAAAGCCAACTACGACGAAGACCTTTTTTATTTTTGTATATATATAGATATATATACAGTTGGGGGGGGGGAATAAATATTCGTACACTTGAAAAAGCCTTAAATAAAACAAATCTCGGCACATTTTATGTATAAAGACACATGCTATTAAAAATAATAATAAACTTAATTAATTCTCATTCTAACAGAAATTAATGCATTTTTTTTAAATTCTAACTGATGAAAAAGTATTCGTACAAATCAATTATTAGAATAAAATAATCAATTAATTATGAAAAGAGTATATTCTAGAATGTTCCAGTAATATCATCAGTAATTATAGTTAATGCTATTAGCCATTATCAGAGCATTTTCAGTCTTATGAGAAGGTTCTAATAATGCCTAAAGTTAAAGAATTGACTATTTCACAAAAACAACACATTTTGTCTCTTTGGAAAGATGGGAACAGTTACAGAACGATTTCTTACAACCAGAATATGTCTTTTACTACAATTCCTTCGTTCATTGCAAGGTTTAAAACTCGTAACAGCGTCGAAAAGCAAAGACGAACAGGTGCTCCGAGGAAGATTTCTCTAAGATCAGCAAGGATATTAGGACTCCAGATCCAACAAAATCCACAGGTTACCCGAGAAGAGATGCATGAACATCTGCGTGCATTAGGGATTAAAGTAACCAAGCGTACAATAAGTAATGAACTACCTCAAAACAGTCTGAAATCACGCATCCCAAAGGAAGACTCCACTCCTCTTGAAGCGACACAGAGATGATGGGCTAAAATTCGTTAGAGAGCATAAGGATAAAGAATATTCGTTTTGGGAAAAAGTACTATGGACAAATGAAACTAAAATGGAGTTGTTTGGTCATAATTATCGAAATCATGTGTGGAGGAAGGACGGTGAAGCCTACTTACCAAAGAACACGTTGCCAACTGTAAAATTTTGTGGTGATCTGGGGCTGTTTTTCATGATCTGGGGCTGTTTTTCTGCAAAAAGATGTTGGCAGAATATCAATAATAGATGGCAAGATGAATGCCGAAAGCTACCAGAAAATCCTGAAAGACAATTTAATGCGTTCTGTTGAGAGACTTCGGCTACCTCCTGATTGGGTTTTCCAACTGGATAATGATCCTAAGCATACCGCTAGAAGGACATGGTTAGCTGAAAGTAAAGTTGATGTCTTGTAATGGACAAGTCAGTCACCAGACTTGAACCCAATCGAGAATTTATGGCGATATTTGAAAATTCAAATTGTGAAAAGAGCACCAACAAATATCAAGAATTTGAAGACAATATGCCAAGAAGAATGGGACAAAATACCACTCTATGTGTGCAAATCATTAGTTGAGACGTACAGGAATAGACTGGTAGCTGTTGAACTCAATAAAGGATATTCCACAAAGTATTAGATTAAGTTAATATGCTTTTTTTCTTTTGTACGAATACTTTTTTCATCAGTTAAAATGGAAAAATTCATTAATTTTTGTTAGAATAAGAATTAATTAAGTCTATTACTATTTTTTTAATAAAATGTATCTTTACACATAAAATGTATCAAAATTTGTTTTAGTTAAGACTCTTACATTTATAAAAATACAATTTTTCATGTGTACGAATATTTATTTCCCAACCACTATATATATATATATATATAATATATATATATATATATATATATATATATATATATATATATATATATATATATATATATATATATATAATACAGAGTCCTATGGTATTTTTTTAAATTGTTCCAAAAAGTGGTTGTTTTGTACTTAAATAAGTGAAAAATATTACATAAATGGTTAAAAAAAGTGTGTCATGAGTTTTTATTAGAAATTTTATTATGGCAAAAAGAAAAAAAACATTGTGTGATTAAATTTTGCTCTCGTTAAAATATCCGCCTTTAGCCTTGATTACTGGAGAACAATTTTTTGGTGTTCATTGCAAAAGTTTCTCAAAGTATGAGTTTGATAATTGATTCCAAATTCTGAAATATTTCTTTTTAAATAAAATTTCTCTGTAAATTTACA